ATGCTGACTGCTTCCTCCTCAGTAACAGCTGTGGATAATAAGCTTCTGTCAGAAGAGACACTTGCATCTGAGACCATTTGCCACTCTCATTTTTCAATAGTAAATGCCTCCTGTAAGGAGGCTTCTCAGGTTCTGCTGCATTCTGAAGATACATCTTTGGTGGAAGAGGGGAAAGCAAAGACTTTGTGATAAAGTATTTTCACTATCTGTGGGCAAAATGTCTAGTGCTCAGCATAGACATAAATAATAAAAATCAGGTATAATGCCTGTGTGTGAATACCTTTTTAAAATGAATATTTTGGGGAAGGCAAAAGAGGAAATGAAGCCTTTGAGTTTGTGGAAAGAACCGTTTCCTTACTCCTTCATAAGCATTAGTATGAAAAAAGGCCAAATTCCTCATTCTCTTCTATAAAGATTCTTCCTGGGTGCCTATCTGTCACCCCCTAAACACCTCCAGGAGAGCATCCTGATGGATCAAAATCCTAGCCCAGCTCATTTCTCATTTATTTTCCTATAATGAGAAATGTATCTGAAATTGAAAGGTTTTAGAGTGGGACAATAGAGTTGGGTTTTTTTTCTCCTGTGCTCTGAGGATGGAGAGATCATCTTATTTAAAACACCTCTTGCTTCCTCAAACTGCTTAGGACAAAACTAGTCTGGACCCAGCTCTTCCACATCTTTCATTTTTCACAGAGATGTTTTCCAGCCACTAAACTGGGACATAACCACAGCTCTGAGTTCCCTCTTCTCAGAGCTTCTTTCTCTTGCCCTTCCCGGGGCTAAGGAAGAGCTTTCTGTATAAAAGCAGCTCCAGCTCCCCTGCCTCCAAGTTCCCTGCCAAATAGCACAAGAGGCAGGAAGTGCAAAGAAATCAAATTCCAGGAGCTTCCTGGAAATTTAGATTCCCTAGTTTCTTGAAACCAAAGAGTGGGTGGAATTCTCACCAGAACTGAGGTTGTGGAACTTTTTTTTAGAGACCGTTTAAAAGAGCAAAAAATTGTGAAGATTGTAAACAAAGATTTCAGATGTTTCAGCTTGTGCTAAAAGTGGTTCCAAGGGAGGAAGAGAGGAAGGTGCTGCTGATGACTACTGTTGAACTGCAGCGATGACTTGCAGGCTGCAGTTTTTCTGGTACCCCACAAGTGTGATCCCATTTCCTTTTGAGTTAGACCACAGTTCCATGTTTATTCATTTTGGCTTTGGGCAAGGATCCCCATCCGTGTCTGTTTGGATCAGGTATGAGTGAATGACCACAGAAGAGGAAAGCATCTGTTAGTCTAGTGTCTTATTACAGGTTTATGCCTTTTTGCTAGATGCGTGACTAGGACATCTCTGTGTGGGACATTACCTTTTCTGTCTGAAAACCTACCAGCCTACCAGCATTTGCAACACAGCCTGAAGTGGCAGAGTCTCTGCTGGATCACAACAGTACTTCAAATTCACAATGTTTGATTGTTTGTTTGTTTCTGAAAGCGCTGAAGCTTCAGCCACTGCATCAACTAACCACAACTTTGTTGAGGGTTATACCAGTTACTTCTGCCATCATCTCTCTCTTTCACTTGCTTGCCTTCTTTCACAACATCTTTAAAAACTTAGAGAGACTTACGCTTCTGTCAAATGTAGCTGAAAATAGGCTATGAAGATGCAGAGAAAATAATAATTTGTAATAATTATAATAATTAGTAATTATTTTCTGGATCCATGACAGCAAACCACCATTTATCTTTTTTTTAAATCTTTTTCGGCCTTGGCTTCTCTGTCTATGCACAGGCTGGTGTGATGCTGTGCACAACGTGTCCAGACAGTGCTGCAGGGTTGCAGCAATTGATCCTCCCTTCCCCAAACCAGGCCAGATGGATCTCCTTGGAGAAGTCTCTATTCACAAATGCAGATTTCCCAAAGCCTGAATTTTGCACTGTTTTTCACGGGGAGCAGGGGTGGAAGAAGCACTTTTTGAGTGTGGGGTTTGTCCGTGGCTCCAAGCAGCTGTGACCTGATGCCTGTGTCCTCCAGAGAAAACTCAACAAGGAAAACAAGTGGCCTGCCTGTCTTGCCTGCATATGTCCAAGAGTTATTTATTAGTGTGAAATGAGTTATTTATTAAGTGTAAAAATAAAGTAATGCAACAGTGTATCTGGCCCCTGATCAGGCCCCCATACTTTCAATCATTTTTTTACTGTGACTCTAAACAGCAGCACAAAACTTGTTCCTAATTTTATTTTGGATAGTCGTAGCTACCACACGAGGATGCAGCTGGATACATCAGAACCTCTTGTTGGTCCCTGTTTTGGCAGTGTGCTTCCCAGATATATGTGGGGCCAGGATGGTCTAGCCAAGAAGAGTCTGAACCTATAGGAACGTGCCCATAGCTCTGAAAGAGCAAAACTGGGTTTGTTTGGGGATGAAATCCCTGCACAGGCCAGTTCAGCCTGAGGTTTTAGCAAGAAGCTTAGTGATGCTGGGATTTTCCAGACAGGTCAGAAATGAAACAAGCTTTGCAGGGGGATTTCTTGTAAAATGCATCTGTAGTGTTCATTCAAGTTTCGCTTCTTTCTCTAAAAATAAATCTGTCTGAGCCTTAGAGGAGCTTCCAAAGCTGCTCTCTAGTGGCTGCAACATCTATGACACTTACTTGAGGAACAGATGGGTTTTTCATTTGTCTCATCAAAACTAAGTGTCAGTGAAAATCCACCCCCCACAGAGAAGGACAAGGGGCAGAGATCCTGTCCCTTTCCACACCGTGGTCCTTTCCTTCCATGGTCTTTTCTTGAGTTCCCTCTGCACTTCTAGAAAGTGGTTCCAGGGAAGAGTGATACTGGGAGCCTACTAAAACCTGCTCTTGAAAGCAGATAAGAAACATGCAAAGAAAAGAAAAAGAGCCAGTAGAGTTTAGCTAAGCTGCCTTTCTCGGACTTCTGAATAAGTGCTCCCTGGAGGACAGTTCGGTGCATTTTATTTTCTGAGCCAGAAGAAAACCGCCCTGTAATTTTCCAGGTCACGAGTCGTGTGGGAGAGAGCAGGGAGCCAGGCACTGCTGTAAGCACCACCACTGGCCTAGGTTGTATAATTTGGTAACTTTACTAGGTTTTATAAAAAGACTTTGTAATATGTTGATAAAGTGGACTTCAGGAAGGGCACCTTTCAAACACCTATTGGCCATTCTGATTTGCCAGATTGCTTCATAAACTTCATACCAGACTGTTTTTCACTCAGACCCCACTGAAAATATTTTTCCAGTTGTATTTTTTTTTGGAAGAAACTTGCAAGGCCTTCCTTTTGGAAAGGATCATTCCTTTTCCTGTCATTGCAGGGAAGATAGAGAAGATCAAGCCTCCTCCATCTCCAACCACTGAGGGCCCTGTCCCGCACTCCGAGCTGCTGCCCGAGGAGGCTGCAGGAGCCCAGCGGCCGAAGAACTTGATGGAGACCCTCATGGAGGATTATGAAACTCACAAAACTAAAAGGCGAGAAAGGATGGATGACAGCAGTGTAAGTAAACTTATACTTTTAGCTCTGTGCTGTGCAATAGATAACATGATTCAGGAGACCCAAGATTCACAAAATATTATACTACCGAAAACATCTTGCAGGGACTTATGGATTTTAGGGGCCCGTATGTTTGAAAAGGAAGGATAGGGGGCAATGGGAAGGAAAAAAAAGAGAATGTCAATGCAATTATGAAAGGTAAATCATATTAATTTTCATTTTAATTGGTTGATTTTAATTAAGTTAATAATCAGGCAGTGAATAACTGCCCTGCAATTGGCCAACCGTTTGAATTCATACGTCCTGAAAAGCCTGAAGTGAGCCATTTTAGCTGCTGCTTGAACTTTGTGGATCAGGCATGGGTTCCTGCTGTGCCTGTTGACTCTCAAAGTCTAAACCCAGTGTGCTCAGGGTTTCAGTGTAAAAGTGGATAATTTTGCCATAAACGGTCTCACACAGTTGCTTTCTTTTCCCCTCAAGTAGAAAGGGAAAATTGGCCCAGGTTCTGCTTTCAGTTTATGGAATGGGTGCCTGCATTTTAGTGGTTGCTGTAGTGGGGTTTAACCCAATTACAGTGTTCTTTATTGGAGGCAATAATACGGCAACAGTAATGAATTTCATAGCTGAAAGTATCAAAATTTAGGTGCATACACTATACAACCCTGTTTCCCACCAAAACACAAGCTGTTTCTCATTCAGACTCATAAGTATGTACTGTGGACAAGGAATTCAGAATGTACAAGTGAGATATAAAATTCCTCACACAACCACGGTTGTTATGCATTTAGTTTTTCAGGCATCTCGCAGACATTTCAGAAAGGCAGTCTCAGCTCCAAGATGCTCACAACTCAACCAAACTGCTTTCTAATAACTTTCATTTAAAGGTGGTATCTTACAAAATCTACAGAAATGAAGGTGTGCAGCGTCAATACCAGCACATTAAAGACCAGCACTTTAGTCACTACTGATGAATAGTATGCAGTAGCATAGAAGGAATCACATGACATTGCATTTCTGCTGGTTAACTTACACACAGTAGAAAAACTGATCTGAGGTGTAAACAGTTGAATTTCTGGCTTATGCCAGAATTCCTTTAGGTTCCTGCCTCCATCAAAGTCAGTGAAATAGTTGCCACTGGCTTCACTGGAGCGGTGTGAAGTTGTTGGTCGGGCTTCTTGCCTCTGTGCGGAAGGAAGTTCACACAAAGAAACTGGTTTTATTCTGCCTCAGTGTGGGGTCATGCCCTGTGAATCAGTTACTCCTGGCTTTCCCCCTCTTACCGGAGCGCTGTGGTGTTTCAGCTCACTGCACCCACCGTAGTGGCAGTTTTCCTGGCCCAGTATTTCCCTGGGCACCCACTATCCTGCAGGGTCACTGAATGGCCTGAGGGGTGTTGAGGAGATGTGTCAGGTGGTCCTTCTCACCTCCTTTGCCAAAACTGGGAGTAACTTTTAATTAAGTGAGAGGTGTAAGACTTAGGTCATCAGAAGCAGAACTGGTCCTCAAGAATCCTACAATTAACTTCCGTCAGTCTTCTGGTTTAATATCTCAGCATGGTGAAGCTGCTTTGCTTAAGAGGTAGCACTGAGCTGCACACTCATCATGTGCTTTTCCTTGGCCCTCATGATGAGTGAAGGTGCCTTATCCAGCCCACTAAGAAGCAGCTGGTGTTCGAAACCCGTTCACACCGTTGGGATGTAGTTACACACTGTTTGCCATACCTGTTCCAGCTCATATGAGACATTATAAGATGTCACTTGAGTGAAAGGCTAACTCTCTTCTCCGTTACATGGGTGCAACTTTGCTGATGCATGCAAAGTTGCACAGGAAAGAAGTTGGCCAGAACTGCCTCGTCGTCTCTGCTTGCAGTCTGGAGCGTGTCCTGGTACCCTGAGCGAGCACACCAGCCGGGGCAGTGCCTCAGAGAAGAGCTGTGCTGTGGGTATCGGTTCAGCGGCCTGCTGCTGCTAACCCACCTACCTGCCAAAGCATTAGTGCCAGACAGGCAGCTTGGAGGCCAGATCCTTTTCTGGAACAAATTGTCAAAGCTGCATTGAATTTACAGAGTCTCACTAAAATCCTGTAGAGTTAAAATTCGTTTTCATTTCCTCATTCTCTGAGCCTATTACACGGAGTCAAACATGACTGACACGCTTGCTGTTGTCTATGCAAAGTCCTCTTAAGGATAGTATCCTGCAGTGGTAAAACACAGCATACCCAAACCAGGTGCAATGTTTTCTTCCTCTCCCCTGTCTCTTTCTTCTCTCCTTTTGTAAGTAATTCCCATCATGGACAGGGGAAAGAGAAACAAATTAGAAGTGTGTTTTGCCTTGCTCCATTCACACTGCCAACACTGTATTTTACACACCAGGCAAAGCAATAATCGCTTAAACAATAAGTAGTTTTGATTTGTCAGCGGAGACCTTTTGATGGTGTGCCCAGGAAAAAGAAAGATCTCTGGATCAAATGAAGCAGAATAACACATGACTGGCCTGTTTTTAAAATGTATGAAATACAGCGTGGGAAGGAACATAATGGACAACCCACCAAGCAGCTGCCGCTTCAGGCATCGGTTCCCGAGAGCTGGAGTTCAGCTCAGCGCTGCTGTCCCTTAGCAAGGGGCAGCAGAGGCTCTCCTGGGTGCCCAGGGCAGCCGTCCCGCCGGCTCCACCGCTCGTTGTCCTGTGCAGAGCTGGGCAGAGCTGAGCGGCAGGAGCAGAGCTGGGCATCCGCGGTTGCCTCCTGGAGCAGTTTCCTCCAAAGAGGACATGCTGCAGAAAAGGCAAAGGCGGGTAAGGAAAAGGATCACGCAGCAGCAGGAAGAAAGCGGTTCCATCGCCAGTGGTAAACATGACTGAGACTGGCCGAGCAATGTCATTAAAAAAAAAAAAAAAAACCCCAAATTGGTAAGCGGTTTGGCCATTTTTTTTTTTTTAATAACACCAAGCTGCTTGACACCCTGTACTCTGAGATGCGCCAGTTCTTTCAATTTATTTTTTTCTTATTTCCTAGTTGTCACATTCTTGTTCAATGTACTAATGCTGGTCTTTTCCCTTTCTACCAGTACACCTGTAAATTACTGTCTAGCAAGGTTACTTCTGAGGTACTTTTCAACTGCTTATTTATTTTTGCTTCTCTTGCATGGTGATTCCAAATGCATGTTGCTGGAGTTTGCATTTTCATGCTGCGTGCCAGTGCTGTTTCATATCAAAATCACAATGCAAATGTATATGGGGGATATTCCTTCTTATCTCCCATCAGCAAATATTTCTGTGGCTGTTTTTCTAACCCTTGGATTCTTGTTACAATTTCTGGAGTGGGAGAGATTGGAATCAGAGGGATGAGAGCTGTTGCCCAGGACTGGGACATTCCTAGGGTGTGAAATTAGAACTCTCTGATCCCTACTCTCATTTAGCTAGCAAATCGAAACCTCAAGCACAAGTTACTGAGAAAAAAATGCTGTGGCTTTCCTATATATGCAATTATAATGCATATAGCAATATCAAAATACACAGCATTTTGTTAAAAAATCAACACACCCAACTTTCATCTTCAGAAGTACAGAGTGAAATCCAAGTTTGCCCTCTCCATTTGTTGAATTTCGTGTGCTTGTTCTTGTTCCTGTGTGTTACCATATGGTGACTGATCAAAGTCCCAAAGTGTGGCAGCAATGTTGGACTTTGCTTAGAGGAGACCCAGACCTACTAAAAAAGTGTGTTTTCACTGACCGTTGGTGTTTTACCACAGTGCATGAAACTTAGTCTTTATGCCTGCAGTGCTGGACTCTGCCAGATGTTTCAGCTTTAAGAGCAGGAAGTTGTTACCAGCAACATCTTTATCATGCTAAGGATTCATGTATTCAGCAAGGCAGGCGCTTGAATTTCTTGTGATTTTTCTGTGCAAGTGTGTGTATAAATCCAGACCTCTCTAAGTGACGGTAACAGATTCTGGTATTGGGTGACACTCATCTGTCCGGAATCAGAGTTTCATTATGAACACATGCTTTCCCCTCTTTCTCTAATCCTTTAACATATTTTGACCCCATGAGCTGCTCCAAGACAAGCGTCTAAACACTTTTTTTCCTGAGAAGTAAAATCTATCCCATTTCATATTCATGAGTGCGTGTTTGGACAATCCAGTGATTTATCTTGTGTAAAACGTCTGTTTTAGCCAGTCCAGGAGCAGTGTACTCCTTCCCAAGACCTGGTGTTAAACATAGGCTGCACCTCTTCTCCCTTAATATCTGTGAAGTAACCTGGGTCACAGTTTGAATAGTCAGTATTGACCAGAGCATTTGATGTCATACAGGAGGCAGAAGCTCAGATGTGCATTTTGGATGCCTATCATCTCATGACTTCTGCTGGGAACAGTTACATGTCTTCTTATAAAGCTGATATTTGTGACACAAAGAGTTAGAAGCTAGAAAAGAAGGGTTGTAAATCAGAAAGCTGAAAACCGCTGTTGTAAAAAGCTTGTTTTTGTATACAGGTGAAAATATGCCACCTGCATAATCTCTGTTACAAAGCTTCAGTCTCATTAAACCATTTCTCAATCCCATCCTCTATAACACAGGCTCTCAGCTGCAATCAGAAATCTCCAGAAAGACAGCGTTTATTATGTCTGCTCTTTTGAACCATTTTTAAACGCAGAGAATTTCCTGCAATGCTAGGTTGGGTGTTCATGCTAGGTCAGATAGTTGTTCCAGACACAGGCAGCACTCAGGGCACAGCCGCTTCCCTTCCGTTGTCGTCACTGGTAGCTCCCAAGGCTGGTGGTGGGTGTCTCATACAGCCCAACAACAGGCATGGGCAGCAGCATCTGAAGTTAAGCTGGACACCCACAAAATACATTAGTCTTCACTTCTTACTCTCACTATTTAATTCATCCAATGTGATTTATCACCTTAAAAATCTGACAGCGAGTTTTAAAACACATCCTTTTATTGTTTTAAAGAGGCAATATTGTATTTATCCTTAAAGTCTTCTGCTTTTATCTTTAAAACTATAATTATATTTTTAAATTTATCAGACATTATCCTGAGTATATGCTATCCCTCGGATGCTGCAGGAGAGATTACAGGAAAATAATATTAAAAGTGCTGAAAATGTAGACACCACAAAACAGAAAATCAGCAGAATGTATGATGGCCAAGGACACATAATTATGTTCTAACAGTGACCAACAGGAGCAGTAGCAGATTCTTTCTTCCGATAAATAAATGTCTTAGATTTCCTATTCCTCACTATACTTACTAAATTTCTGATATATTTATATTGTGAGACAGGGATTAGAGCTATGTAGGTACAGTAAAGCAAAAGTGTTTATGTGAAGGAATGGGTATTATTTGTTTCACGATAGTTTCAGTCTGTTAAAGCATTTAGCATTTTTTTTTTTGTTACCAAGAAGGAGTGGTCATGTCTACAGGAACAGGCAGCCTATTTCCTGCATTTGTGTTTCTGCATTTTTGTGCACTGTGTGCTTCTACAAAGGTGTCTTGTGCAATATTTTTTTTTCACTTTGTTTAAAGCTTCTTCTAGGTCTGAATAGGAAGAATCAGTGAAATATAAGGCTCCAGAAATATAATTTTGTTTCTGTGTCAGTGTTACTGCTGCTGTTTAATAAAAATGAGTGACCTGTGTGACATAGCACTAAGTGAGATTCAGCATAAGGTGCTTGGAATAAATATGCTCTGGACTGAGGCGTATCCCTACTCTGCTTTTTAATAACTTGCTATTAGTAAGAGAGTAACTGTGATAAGATCTGTTGGGGGGAAATGGATTAACTCAGGGGAGACTTGGCTCTGTCTTGCAAGTAGATAGATAAATTAAACTTGAGCATGACTAGGGTGAGTTTTTCAGTCTTTTTTTTTTCCAAATCCTCAGTATCTTAAATGAAATCTATCAAGAACAAGCTCTCTGTAATTCTTAGCAAGAAGTCAGAGATGCAACCACAAGATCCACACATATATATATTTTTTTTTTTAAAAAGGGGAGGGGAAGGATAGTTTTTACAGCTCTACATATTTTGGCATATTTGTCTTTCCTTCACACTTGTTTCTGATCTCCAAATTCTCCTTCTTTTAATGTAACTAGTGGTCAAATTGCTATTTCGATGTGAGACATATTTTATATATGTTGCTTTTTGTCACTGACATGTTATTTCCTTTATGAGATATCATGAGTGCATCATCCCCTTCATAATCTTTCCTGAGCCAATTTCAGTAGCCATTTTAGACAAATGATAAAATGCAGAGAACAGCAGCAATAACTATTCTCACTTCCAATCTTCAGTGTACACCTTTGGCACATGGTAATGTGCCTAACCACCATAGGTCACTCTGGCCATCCAAACTATGGTTTGAACAGGATGAGGATAATTTTGTGGCCAGCTACCTCCGTGCTGTGGCATCTTCAAAGAGGCTGGAGCAGCAGCTGACTGCAGGAGTATGAAGCAGCAGCTTATCCATGTACAGACCTGCGAGATGGGGCAGTTTGTTCCCCTTGCCAAGGAGCAGCAATGTTGCACCCCAGGCAGTGCATAAAAGTACTGGTGGTTTGGGAGAACCACTGTGTGCTGGGTTTGTGGTGGGTCTACAGACATTCGTGGTGTCTGTTGAGAGTATTTTACAAGAGAAGTCAAAGTGAGTCACCATTCAAATCAAAGCAACTCACTATTACAAGCTTCTGATTATAAGTGAGTGGCTTCTTAGGTGATTAATGTAACACTTCCCTTGAAGAGACGTGATCCTCCACTCAACAGTTGCAGCTTTGCACTGCAATTACTGCCTTGCATTCTGAAGAGCAATAGTAAAAACAACTGTTTTAGTTAAAATAAGCCTTCTGAAGTAGCTAATGTGGATGGGTCTTTGACCTTTAAGCCATCCTATCTAATAGTTAATATGAAGGCAGACATAGAATCATTATGGTTGGAAAAGACCTTTAAGGTCATCGATTCCAACCATAAGCCCATCCCCACCTTTCCTGTTAAACCGTGTCCCGAAGTTAGCCTGAATCCACAGGTCAAATTCAGCAGACATCGTTGAAGTATGTCTTTACTCTGTGACAGCAATAATTTCATTTTGAAATTTGTGCTGAAATTTTGTTTTGTTTTTCCATGCGTATTTTAATGCCCAGTGGAGGGGAAAATGAATTTTCTGCATTTTCTGTAGTCACTGTGCCATGCTGACCTTGTTCTGCTGCCCAGCAATATTTGCCTGTTGGCCATATGAGAAAGTCACTGTGTTTTTCCAGCTCATTGCTCACCTAAGAGCAGCTACTCCCTCTTCAGAAGATACTAAGATGATACGTACACTGATGCCCAAGCACAGTTTTTCTTCTCCGTTGGGCCCTTTGCTCAGGTGTTTAGGCCTGGTTGCTGTGGCAATCAGAAACCTAAAAACTTAATTTAAACCATCAGTCCTTGGTCTTGCACCTGGAGTAGCCTCAGTGCACTGCCTGCCAGGAGGTGTTTTAGAAGGATTTTTCAGTGTATTTGTTGTTGTTTTTTAATGACCATTAAATTTGCAGCATATTTGCCCTCTGTTGGATGAAGTGAAAGCTGCTCCAGCCCGCTCCCACTTTCCAGTGGTGTCTCTGGGAAAAGTGCAGATGTAATTTTGAGAAAAATGTCAGCAATTAACCCTCTGGGAAGCCTGGACCAGTTCTGTAGTCCTGCTCAGGGAACTCATGGGGATGCAGCTGGAGTGTCAGATCAAGATTATATCTCTTGACAGAATGCTGCCCTTTGGTTCTGTGGTTTTTTCATGGTCATAGTCAAGGGAGGACAAAGAAAATAATGGCAAAAAAATGTAAGAAAGCTTGTCAAAATTCACCTTACCTTTCTTTAGTTCCTCAATGGAGATCTAGGCCTTAACTTAGACATAGAAGCAGTTTCACATTCTTAAAGAAAATCAGACCTGATGTTGTTCAAAGCTGATTTCCTAATGTTACCTATGTAGGAACTTGTAGTACCTGTTTACTTTTTCAACCACAGCTTATTAGAAGCTGAAAGGGCAAATTCAGCTCATCCATTCCCCTGTACGAGATCTATTCTTAAGCTGTCTGTTTTCTGTATTCTGGTCAAGGCTGAAGTTCTCACTGCATTTGGCTTTCTGCGCACAGGCATGAAATAACATCGTCCTTTCCCAAAAAGTGAATTACTCATCTGCAGCCAGACAAATCGGGCCGCAGAACAGCTTGTACAAAGCATTAGGGGCCTGAAATGACAGACATTCATTCAGCAAACAATCTGAGAACTAGGGGCTTGGTTTTCTGATTTATTTTTAAACTTGTCTCTTTAAACATCTCTAAAGTTTGCTGCAATGGGAGGGCTGGTGTAAAACTCGCTAAGGCAATGAGCCTTGGAGCAGCCTGATGGTTTGATCAGGCTGTTCCTGGGTGTACGTGAGGAGATACCACTGCCACGTGCTTCTGGGAGAGGTCCCAAGCGCGCGGATAGGCTGGGAGGACACGCACTGCCATCGTTATTTGCTGGGGACCGCAGCTCCACACCCTCATGCCTGCTGCTCTACTCCGAATTTCTTTTTTTCTCCTGCTTCAAGCATATATTTAAACCTTTTCCTACTTTCTTTTAGTCGTTCTTGTATGTGCATCCTATACATATGTATAGTATATATACAGTATGTATGTTTATGCAGAGATATATGTAAGTATATACGCATATATATACTTATCAAAACATATGTATATATTTATACATGTTTACGTCAAAACATACGTATATATTTGTGTGCGTGTGTGTGAAAAAGGTACCACCACATGAGTGCCCACCATGGAGCAGCCTCTGCTGACGGCGGTGGCCCCCTTGTGCAGACCCCCTTTTCCATGCCCAGGGTGACTTTTCTCTCCGGTCATGCTGCAGTCACAGCATTGACACCCCCACTGGCAGGGCCACAAGCCGGAGACCAGCAGTGTGGGGTGCTCAGGAGCAAGCACTGGCTGTGGAGACTCCTGAAGGAGCTGGCCGGGATGCAGAGATGGACCTGCCTCCTCTTCCCGCATTGATTTTCCTGGGGATGTTTCCACTACCAGCACTTCACCGCATGAGCAGCCCTGGTTTGCACCCCAGTTTGCACCCTGGTTTGCACCCTGGTTTGTACCCTGGTTTGCACCCCGATGACGTGTGAGTAACGTGGTGTTTTCTGCTTTTCTTCACTTTACCAGGTCCTGGAGGCAACCAGAGTGAATCGGAGGAAGAGCGCTCTGGCGCTGCGCTGGGAAGCTGGCATTTATGCCAACCGTGAGGAGAACGAATAATCGTGCTGTAGCGTGAAGAAGGCGGCTAGGGACTGCAAAACCAAAAAAAAAAAAAGGAAAAAAAAGTGAAAAAAATAAGAAAAGAAAGGAATAAGAATAAGCAGTACCATTTTAATCCAGTATTTATTAAAGATACCAGAAACTCGATGATGCACATAGACACAGAAACGATCCGTCTCCCAGCAGCAATCCTAAACCAACAGGAATTCCCACCTGGAAAACAGCACGCCGCGGCGCCGCCGCCTCCGGATGCTGCTTTTCGGGGGGCGCGGGTGGCGTTTGGGGGTTGTTTTTTCTTGAGGAGCGGGGTGGGCGTCGTGCTCCCCTTTCTAGTAATTTATCTGTTTAAAAAGGAGGAAAAAAAAACATGGGGATGCAGCTATTGCAAATGTACAATCCAGTAGACTCAGCAAAATAATCCCTTGTGTTGCAAACACAAGCCATCATAATTTAGGAGTGGAATAGATGGGGATGAGAGCCAAGCCAAATGGATTACCTTAGCTTTAGGATCCTGTATGCTTGCAATATCACCTGAGCTCCAGGTTCTCAGAGCTTATTTACATAGCAAAGTTTCTAAATAGAAAGTCTGTATTTAGTGGGTGACAGCTATTTTTTGATGGCGGGGAGGGAAAAGCATGGCCGTATGCGTAAAAGCTATAAAGATGGAGAATTTGAAGTAGAAATGCAGTGGGAAATGATTTCAAATAAAGGTCATTTAATTTTTAAATGAGGCAATAATTGGACTGAGCCAGACTCTGGCCTAGGAAGAGGGATGAAATAGAGTTACGTCTTTAACTATATTTATACAACATAAAAGGCTTTTGGAGTTAATGTAGAGTGCTTTATGGAAGTCTTCAGGTTTCCAGGCTACGTAAAAGTTGAAGGGGGTGGTGAGTGAGGAAGAGTGGGCAAAGAAGAGCACACCGAGAAAATAAGCATTGTTTTTGCCATTCAACCAGTGTTTTCAGTGCTACAAGCAAACCATAGAGCCTTTAGTTGTTGCATAGGCTTGGGATCAGCAGTGAAGGATTAGTGTGAGTCTGTGTGAGCGTGGGTGCGTGTGCGTGTGTGTGTGAGCGCGTGTGCGAGTCTGGCATACTAGAAAGAGTACGGAGGTGGGTGTACAGATTATTTTCTCCAAAGCTGTTTGCCAGCTGTAGGGGTGAGTGAGAATTTCTTTTTTTTTCTGAAAGGGGATATTAAAACAAAAACAAAACAAAAAAAAAGCACTGAGTTGATGCAGTATTTGTGATATTAAAATTTGACCCAATGTGGTATTTGCATGAGTCACAATTGCAAAGTATTGACCAGTTTTGTAACCTGACAATTAGAAAAAAACAAAAACAAAAATGTGGTATTTATTCTTGTGCTTTGTATTCGTATGTAGCGTAGAGGCTGTGGGTTTACTCTTTCTTTTCATGCAAAGCAATACAATAGAGTATTTTACAACTTGGAACCATAATTTCTGGACTAGAAATGATTAAATTTGGGTGGGATCAAGGAGAAAAAAAGACATTGAGCTTTTTCTATATATAATGCTTTTTATTAGCAAATAATTATTGTTTTGACTTCTTTTTCAAAATCAGTCAAGATGCTGGTCCTGTGTTAAGCCCTCCTCGGTTTCATGACCTGCTATTCTGTCATATAGCAACAAAACGGGGCTATATGTTCCAAACATATTTTTTTCCAAAACAGGGAGCTCATTTAAAATGACTACCAATACTGTGAACATACTTCTGGTGCTTCTGTCAAACTAAGGCAGAGCTGGCAACCAAATTATCCCTGGGCCCCTGGCCCCGCTTCCTCCAGCATGTGCTTTCTCACATGCAGAGTATCTTTCATGTTCCTTTTTGCCTGTCAGTTGACACTGTCACTTGAGACCTATTTTCAGGGACCTGTAGCAGATGTGATTAGAAGTTGATGCAGTTCCATGAATTTACTTAAGTGCTATTTAACAGAAGAAAACCCTTTTAAAATGAGAGTTCACTGTGAAAAAAAAAGAAAAAAAAAAGCGCGCTTGTTTCATGGATGCTCTTTAAGCCACGGTGCCTTGGGGCACACCACACATGTAGCAGAATTGCCAGTCTGAGGAAGGGAGCTCGCTGTTCAGACATGGCAGTCAGCAGTGAACTGTGATTTCTGTGTGCAAGCTGAGTAGATGTTGCCATAAGCTGCAGGAAGCAGCACTCCAGCAGCAGCATTTGTGAGCATCACATCCATGTCGAGAGGAGCCCTGGCTCCCTCCACCTGTGGGAAGGACATGGAGAAAGGGGTTTTCCTGAGCAGTGTCATTTTTGGCCCAGGTATTCATGGTGAGATGGTTTTGAATCATGCCATGCTCTCCTCAGTTTTTCCTGGCCTTTGCTGCCTGAAACGGGGCTGATCCAGGCTGCCTCAAAGGGAGGCCTCCTTCTTCCCTGTTTTCTTCATCCTGGAGGTCTGCGCTTTGCTCTTGCTTTCTCCTGAAATTCACAAATATTAACCATTAATCTTAGTACATCTCCTCATCCTCATCAACCTCCTCTCCCGCCACCATTGCCACTTAGTGTTTGATGTGAAAATTAAATCTCTGTCCTCAAAAGCAGATAGGGTGGTAGAGAAGGGCCGCAAGGGAACCCTTTTCTTTCACTAGAAGCATCAGTAAGAGTATTTGCATGTACCAATTCAGGACAGCTGAGCTTTCCACCCAGCCGTGTTTTTCTCTTCCAGAAATTATGGAGACTCGCTGCCGGCAGCACACGTCAGTGCTGTGGTAACAGGAGTGCTATGCAGTTTACTTGCCTCTGTTATTTCATTTGCATGCTACCAAGCTTAGATGTTTATGAGTATATGCCAGTAATACATATCTATCTATATATACATATATCCAATGCAACAAAGGAGCACTATTGCAGAGTTTTAGTTTGTCTCCATAATAGGAACACTTAATTCTTTCCCGTGTCGAAGACTGGTTTTAATGAAACTGTGTATTGAAAAAAAAAATAGTTAAGCATTAGCTTTTGTGATTGTAATCAGTTTGGGGATATGGTGCAGGTTTTCTGAACAATTCTAGTTTTAAAAGATGCCAGTTTTGACTTTTTATTGCTCCATATTAACATAATTTGGCAGAAAACACAACAGCAGTGATTTGTTCAGCCACCAAAAGATGGCGTCCTTGTCAAGAGCTACCAACCAGTTCAACAGTATCTGGTTTTCTGTATATGTTAACCACTTCAATGTTATCCTGCTTCTGTTTTTTTTTTTTCTTTTTTTTTTCCCTAGTGACTGTGAGGCCTACAATGCAAGTATATAATTATTTTCTCATTAAAACAGAAACCTGTGTTGTGTTTCTATGAACCGGCGGCTCCGTGTCGAGGCCATGCTGAGCGGGTCTGAGTGCTCCGGCGGGGAGCAAAGAGCCTCCCTGCCAGCAGACCAGGGCAGGGAGAGACAGAGCTGTGGAGCAGAGGCTCCTCTTTCACCCCAGATTTTCCCTCTCCTTCTTCAGGATTGGGGCAGAGGACACCGGTGAGTCCAGCAGGAGCTGGACAGGGCCAATTGCAGCCTTTAGTAAGAGCCCTCCTTCCTGCCAACCTGCAGAAATTACACCCTTGATTTTGACCTTACAAAAACAACACGGTGACACCCAGCAGCTCCCGTGGCGTGGGGATCCCCACAACAAATTGTGTTGTTGTGAGCCATTAATACTTATTTTAATAACAAGCGCTTAGGACATCGAGTGTCCTCTGTCACCCTGTTGTTCAGCCAAATAACACTCACTAAACTCTAGAGTGTTTTGGCAGAGAAGCCAGCACTAAAAAAAAAGAGGAATTGTTTTAGCCATCATTTCTGGGTTAGCCCCATAAACGGTGAGAATAATCCACTCTGCCTTTGCATTGACAAGAAAGTCACAGGAACTTTAGTTAAACCCCAAGCCAGGGGTGGAGGGTGGGAAATCTGGCATACTTTATGGATATTTGGAGAAGTTCATACATGGAATGCTTTAGGTGTGTTTAACCCAAGGGTGGCCAAGTAGATAATATAACAGAAGAAACCTCCATGACCACGGGGAGGCTAAGGGTCTGTGAAATCAACACTCTTCCACATTTCTCCTGGTTTCTCTCGGTAGTGTGGGTGGATGGATTCCACCCATGGAAAGCAGGAGAGCTCTTGGTGTGAGCACGGGGCAGGCAGTGGATGCTAACTGTGCCTCTCTTCGGTGGTGTGTGCCCCGTCACAGCCTCCAGGAAGACATCTATGGACTTGGGACCTACATGCCCAGAGGGATCACGGCCAAACAGCCCCAGATTTGCAGGTCTGGTGGCAAAAGATTGGGAAGTGTTCCCCATCAGCTCCGCAGATTAAAGTCATTGCAAGTCCTGGAAGTGGGCACCAAGCCATGGCATCCCCTTGCCTTTCATCCAGCAGAGGAAGGACAGGGCAAGGCATGACTAATGTTATAAATATTAGCACGGCCATTAATCCAAAGATTACTCCAAATTACCTTCTAATTACTGGTTTGACTGGGCTGGGTGGTGCAGGAAGCTCTTAGCAATGGGCTTGTGTCATCACCAAGGGTCGAGCCCCGCACTCCTCCCCAAGCTGAAGAGGAGGCAACATCCCAGTCCCCATCTGACACACCACAAAAGAGCCCAGGGCAGGAGCTAGCAGCTATATTATCACATGCTCAATAGCACCAGGGCTTGTATCAAGGAAATGAAAACCCCAAAACTCATCATCAGCAGAGAAACCCTAAAATGCCATCCAGATCTCAGGGTCTGCTGCTAACTGTGACTGAATAAGCCCTAATTTCTCAATGAACCCACTGGATTACAAACTGCACCTGCAGGAACAGACCTGCTACAATAAGCATTAAAATGAATATAAGGGCTTTCCATCTCGCACCTAGGCACCTTTCATCTTCTGTAGTGAAGTGAGCATGGTGTGCCACCAAGAGCTGGAAATGCCTCAGGTCTTGTTCAAATCTATGGGGCTGAAAAAAAAAAAAAAAAAAAAAAAAAAGAGAGAGAGAGAGAGAGATGAAAAAAAGAGATGCACACAAAGCTTTTCATCTGAATCTCCATCACTGCAAACAGCCTGGCCGGGACTGCTTTGCAGGGATTTGTGCAGCAGCAGTGACATCTGGAGGGCAAACTACACTGAGCATGGCAGGAGCTTCGTTTCAAGGGATGTGTCCTGGAAGCCAAGTCATGGGATCTACTTAAATCCAGGACTGATTTGCTCATACGGTATTAGATATTTTACACGTCCTTGCTGCTCCTCACCTTCTGTATATTTGTGTGCCATACACCAGCATATTATTTGGAATGAGAAAGGTCCTTAGTAGTACATCTGTACCCTGGAAATGAATCATTCAATTACCAACTAAAAAACCTCTTTCCTCTAATATTGCAGCTGCTTCAGGTAAGGGTAACACTGCCTTTCAGGTGGAAATGCAGATCCTCCTGGGCAAATGGAGATGTCTGCTTGCAGCAGTGGTTGCACAGGAGGATGGAGAAAGAATTCAGGTGTGTCCTCCTGCCCTGTGCCTGCAAAGCTTCAGCTGTACCTGCCTCTACAACGGCTTCCTGTATCCTTCATCCAGGGTTTTGCTCTGAGCTGGGGAAGCCAGTCCTTGCCTGAAGGATGGAGCACTCCTCATTATGGGGTCGGTGAAGAAAGGGGGCTGTGGCACAGAGGGAGGATGCTTATGTAAAAGCAGCCCTGATAAGCACTTCTTCCCTGTCTTTGAAGGAAAGGTGATCACCTCCTTCCCCTCTCTCCACCTTCCATTGAGATGAGCAACACGCTCCAGCTGCAACTGAGTGACAAGAAGACAGGAAAATCATAGCAAAACAAATGGATCAGTGATATTATCCTCCTGAAGTAGCACATCAGAGCATTCATGCAAGGCTTTAAAAGTGGTGCAGTTGAGTAACAGTCATTAGAGAGGAGGAACCTCATGTCACCTCCATGCAGAAAGGTGGAGTTCCCAGATGTGCAATGGGAATAGGCTTGCATGACACCTTTGCCATCCAAGTATCCAGCCCTGCTTAACTGGATTGGAAGAAAGAGGGTGTTAAAGTAGGACACTTGCCCACTCCCTTGTAGGGCTTGTTCTCTCCTGAAGCATACAGTGCTGAGATAGTCTGGGTGCCTCCAGGCCCGGGAAGGCTCAGTGCTTTAGTGGCAGAAGTGCCATCCAAGCAGACTTGGCCACCGATTATGGCCTTTATATTTGCCAGATCTGCACTCCCACGGCAGCACCTTTCCTGCGTATCTCCTTGTTGTCTGCCATTCCCTTCTTGTTTCCTTGTGTTGCTATTCTCTTTCAAAACCTGTCCACTCTCAGGAAGCAAGACCAACATCTCCCATCAGTGAGGGGGTCTCACACCTGCTTTCACTGAGCCTCGTGGGATGGAAAAGGCCTTTGGCCAATCTACGTGTCCTGCTTCCTCATCAAACTCATCTCAGTCAGGCCTCATCACAGACCGACTTCCTCATTTCCTCAGGTGTTTGGCTGCATTTTCTTCATTTTCCTTCACTAAACAACCTCAGGAAAGGTGGACAAACCAAGATTCACAAGACTAAGTAACAAAAATGTACAAAATGTACAAAAATATTTAGTTACATAAATATCCCTGAGAACCTTATTCTTTGAGGGCTACATAGTACTGAATTCAACTGTAAAACACTAGATTGGATTTGGGGTTTTGGCTAATGCAGTATAAAAGCTGGTATTAACAGAAGCATCTGGAGAAAAAAAGAAAAAATAAGCTACTAGTTTAAATCTTGCTTGAGTCCACCAATTCCCATTTGCAATCTCAGTTCCAACAAAAACTAAGAGTGATATGAGTTTCAGATTCAACAGCTCATCTCATGAGAAAAAGGGCAAAGAAAAGACACCCCACAGGGCTCCAAGTGCTCTTCCATCCTTCTCCCCTTCAGAAATAAAATAAGGAGAGTAGGGGGAGACATTTGAAGACTAGACATGTGTGTAACTAATTGGTTGTTCGAGGGGAGCCAGGGACAACAAGTACCTTTGCTTGGCTACATTCATCATGTCAAGAGGGGAATCATAACAGCTTTGCTTTAATGTAGTGTCTGAAGAAAACAAATGAGCCTTCCCCTGAAGGCAGACAGAGCTTATGTGGGGTAGAGAGGGTTGCTTTTGAAGGTGAAGTTAATTGCAAGTCTGAGGAGGTGAAGTTAATTGCAAGTCGTAGGACAATATTTATGAAGAAGTAAGACTTCCTGACAGAGGCAGGAGAGAGGAGGACAAATAAAGCAGGCTGGGAAAAAGTGTTATAAATAATGGAAAACAGAGACTAGCAGAAAGAGAAATAGGTGAAAATCTCGCTGACGGGAATTTACTCATGCAGGGAGCCCTTTCTGAAGCCAGCTGAAAAGAATCTCAGACTGTGTTTGAGCAGGGATTGTAGATATATGAGACCAAGCATATTTACCCACGATCAATGAAAACCAAGAAAAATCTCTGCCAGTTACAGCGTCGCAGATGCTGTCAGAGGCAAGCTATGGTCAGGCAGGAGAAAGCTCAGCCCAGGTGTCCTTCCTGACCACTGTCTACTGAGCCAGTTGTTAGCAAAAGTGGTCAGGAAATAGCTGAATGATAGCACTGCTCATGGGAGCTGTGATGTATCGACATGCAGACTCTCCAACCTCACAAATTAAAAGCAAAGTCAATATATGCTGTCTACGCTTTTCAGGGTATTTCCAGCGAACTTACAGGGATCCCCCAGGACTGACTGCAGATCAAGACAGCATTTCAGTGCCCCAAAAAGCTTGATTTTCCAAGTATTCTTCAACCTCTCTCTTTCTTCTTAAAAAAAAAAGTATTAAATCAGTTTATAGAGAATTTATTTGTAGATGAGGTCACTTTCTGGCTTTAGTCTGTAGGCCTGCTTTGCCTTAGACTGTCTAGGTTATGTGTCCTTGCAGAGAGTGTCCTAAAGCTGGTGCCAGACAGACATGAGCTGCTTTCTGATCCTAGCTCTGGTGGCACCTTGGAGGTGGCATCTGGCATGAAACCCCTGAGGGAGTTGAATGGAGAAGGCTCTGACTCTGGTACAGCCGTGATGTGGAAGTGCGGTATGTATGGCAGAAAAAGAGACGCATCAAACCACAAAATGCGTGAACCTGGCCCACACCTTGTAGAGGTTGAGCAGCAGCTGCTGCCCTCAGCCTGCAGCAGAGCGGGAAGAGCTGGTGTCCAGCACAGAGCATTCACCTGCACTTGAT